CTTCTGGAGAAAACCACTGAACTCTGTTTTGTATTTGCATCATAATGGATCCTCATCAGCTCTTATCTTCATCCCTGTGACATTTTTCCTGTCTTGCCCATTCCCAAATGTTGAGAAGTTAACAGCATAGAGTTCCAAATACTGGCTGCAGTTGCAGGTATCTTCAAAATTGACACAAGACCACAAACACACTGGCAAAGTGTTTTGGACAATGGACTTTGTTGTCAAATCTGGCAAATGTGATATGTGCATTACTTGCAGTTTCTGAAGAAAACCAAAACTCTGGTAGACGTGTATTTGTTGGAAGTGTTGATATTGGATTTGTGTAACATTCCTAAAAACATCGAGACAACATAAGAATATAATGGGATGTAACTTTGTGTTTCGGTTTGTAGAATAGAAGAGATAAAGGCACTTACTGTATTTACACTTTAGTTTCTGGAAACAGTGAAAGAATTAAAAGGAGATGAATTAAAGAAAGAAGAGAATGTGAACTTGAAAGGCATGTCCTCACGGAAAAGAGGCAACATCACTTAGTGTAGATTACTGGTATCACTTGTAACTATGTGTTGTGTAAAAAATTAAAATGGAAGGAAGCTGTTTGAGTAAAGAGAAAAAGTAAACTTTCTTGTTTCAGGCTTAATCAATTCTCTTCAAAATTCAGTCTGCCTCTCTAGTTGACTTCCTTGGAGATATTATTATTATTATTATTATTATTAATATTATTATTATTATTATTATTTAGTTGTTCTTTAAAAATTCCCTTTATGAATAGGCTAGTTTATAAAAGTTATTGTGATGGTCTTGGGGAAGAAAGTTTATCACATAGTTCTCTTCCATTCTTTCAAAAATGAGGTAAGCACATAGAACACAATGTCAATATCAACAGTTATGATGGGAAGTATGATGATATGGTTTGGAGCTGGCTCCCTGCCAAGTTTCCAAACCTTACCACAAGAAGTCCCCCCACCCACCCCAAACCAGGGGAGAAGAGGGGAAAAAAACCAAAAGAATCGAAAACGAGAAAGAGACAAAGCAATATATATAAATATATTTACACTTATATTACAGTTATGTACAGTTGAAATATATATACAATTTCACAGGGAAAAGGGAAAGGGGAAGGGAAGAACAAAAACCAAAATAATACATATATATATATCCCGATCAGTAGCCCAAGGTCTATCAACTAAAAGAATTAGCAAAGAATATCTTACTACTCTCCTTGGGACAACGGAGAGTCACACTGGAGTGACTGCCGGCAGCCTCCACCTCCCAAGGTCGACAAGGCCTTACCAGGCCTCACTCTCCAACCTGGCAGACTCAACAGCAGGGAAACCTGCACCTCCAAAGCCGCTGGAAGGAAAGAGAGCGAAGGCGTCTCCTCCTTTCTTCTTATACTCCAGCTTACGTAAAAATCGTAGGGAATACTGGGTAAATCTGGGCATTTCCTTGGTTACAAACTGGTCACCAAGGAAGGCCTAGGCCAAACTACCACATATGAGAAAATTCTCATTAATTTAACTGTTACATACTCATTGCTTCTTTACCCAATAAATGTGGATTTCTGATATGATAATAAGCTAATCTGATGTTCTTGAATTATAAGCAAGGTGATTGCACTATGATAATGGTTCTCAGTGAATACTAAATCCCAAATTTATTCTAAGACTGTCTCCTGTTTGTTAACTGCATAGGAACACCTTCTATTTACAAATATTTTGGAAAAAAAATAATAATATTAAGAATTTTGCCACATGACATTTTAATTTTCACTTCCTTTTTGACAGATACAATTGTGAAGTATGCATATATATATCTATGGACTCACATATATGCATTCATAAATTATTTTTTTTTGAATATGCAATTTTAGCTCTGAATTCTAAAGAAAATTTGATTTTCAATGAATGGTGGAATACTTCACAGAAAACGTGTTTTTGAAAAGTCAGTTAGATGCATGTTACTATTAATGCATATTACTTAATGGTACTTTTGTGTACCATTCAGATGACTACTGTGTACTCTCTTTTTTTCATGAAATTATTTCAAGGGCATGCATGGATACATCTTAGTATAGGTTCTGCAAGCCTTAAAATTTATGAAATCATGGAACCTTCTCTATACATACAGAAAATGTTTGTCTACTGCAAGAACAGCTGTAAAGCAGATATCAGTAAAGAGCTATCAGTAGAGCTTTACTATTAGTAAAGACACACAGTGTCAACTGGTGTCCCCTGCAGAGCAGCAAATCACATCTTAAAGCAATGAGTCATGGAATCAATGGTCAGTTATACTGATTACTATAAAACAAACCAGAAATATATCTGGCTGAATTTAGTTTTAGAAAAGTCCCTTAATCTGGAGAAAAGCTTTCTGGGTCCACAAATTCATTTAAGCCACGAGTTACCTGCTATGAGTTTCAAGGATGAAAGTTTATTATGTATTCTCTCTGCCAGATCAGCAGTTAAAAAAGGAGACATCCTGAGACAGCTGACCTTTCTTGATTAATAGGTCAACATGTCTTTAAACCAAGATTTAGGGATGTTTGGAGCCTTCTGATCTACAAAAAGCAGCAGATCATTACAAATTCATTGATCTCTTTGATTTCTCACTTTTCATCTTCTATCTCAACACTGGAACACAATTAAGTTTTACAAAAGGTGTCACCTTTCAGAATTAAGTGTAATTAGTAAGTTCCTCTCACTTTAGTTCAACTTTTGAAGCACTTCTCAAGGTAAAAGTTAGTGTCTTGAAATCAGTTAGCTGTTTGGTTGTAGTTATATTGATGAAGAAGCTGGTTCATTATTTCTGTTAACTATTGATTAACATAAAGTACTTAAAAAAAACAATCGTTGTACATCAAACTACTACATCACAGAGCCTTTCTGCTGAGTTAAGCCATCTTCTTTAATAGGTGGTGCAAACTTCTAAGTAAAATGGGTAATGCTGAGGACCTGACATCTCTATTATTTCTTTTTTGTCTTTTTTTTTCACTTTGGACTGGATCTTGTCTGGTCCTGTAGACTGAATTCTCCTTTGCAACTGAAATCCGTTAGATGACTTCTTTGACTTTCCTCACACAAATTATGGAAAACCACACATTTTTGTAGAAGTTTGTGAAAGAGATGTAAGCCTTCTGTTATTTGCTGTTCTCCCTCTGTTGTTTGGTTTGGGGTTTTTTATATTTGACAATAAGATTATATAATAAATAATTCATGAACCATAAATGATGTAAATTAATAATACAAGATACTACTGATTGAAAATATTTCCACTAATCATTATCCAGTGTATTAAAAGTTCATTTGTCTATTACTTTTAATGCAGCAAATGGTTTTGGCTTTGCTACTAGCAAGTGACAAAGTTGAAGACTCCTAGTTGAATTTAAATGATGGTTAGTAAATCTGAAGCGACAGCTTAAGCAAAATGGTCTCAAGTGGAAATCTCAATCACATACCTAAATTACATCTTTGCTGGCTGTGAGAGATTTTATTTTATAGAACATCATCAATATTTCATTTTTTTCTTTTCTATTTTTTTATTTTATTAAAGCATCTATTAACAGTAAATAAAGTCACTTATTTATAAGTGTTCAAAAATTGAAAAAGGGTTTTAAAGATAATAAATAAATAAATATTTAATTAAAATAAAATGGAAATAACAGATAAACAAACAGAGGTAAATGTTCCTCAGTGATGAAAAAATAGTGATGAAAAAATAGGAGCTTCTGGTGGAAGCACCAAAATATGGGGTTTTAGCAATTACATAAATATAAATGTGAACTGTTTATGAATTAGGATGTTTATTTCTAAAATTCAAGATTGCTAGAGTTGAGAACAATACAAAAAGTGATAAAACTACTGTACCTAATTAGTCATTTCCTTTCATTAGAGCCAAAGTAAAGGCAATATATGTCTTCAAGCTGCCATACTTGCAGGTAAAATATAGTAGCTTAAAGCACTGTAAAATTATTAAGCCAATTCAAACTTTCATACTTTACTTTGCTATTGGAATGAGCTAAGAGAGCAAAAGCAATCAATTACTGTGCTGGCTGATAAACATTAACTCATTTATCTTTACTGTTTCTTTTTTTTTATTTATCATTTATTTCCCTTGAACAAAATAGTTAACAATATACTAGAGGCTAAATATTTTTCTTGGTTTCCAAGTTCTCCAGTTGTGATTCTTGTGTCTTTTATTGTGTTTATATATTATAGTTTCAAATTAATCCAGAAATGTGACCATCTTTTATGGAGGCATGTGGTACACTATTTATAGCTGTATCACATTTCTTTCTCAAGATCATCTGGGAATATTCACTCCTAACAAGATCAGAATTTCACTGTAGATGATATTTAGAAGAATTCCTAAGCTTAAAGCCCCAGTAATTACAATCATACCTGATACTTCCTGTGTTTTGATTTATCTAAATCAGATCCCTAAAGAGCAAACCATGCACATTTTGTAGGTATTTTGAAATTATTTCCCTTGGAAATATTTCTTAACAAAACATTGCATTACACAATGATTCTATTATTGTTTTTAGTGAATAACCTGTTAAGCTACCAATAGTTTTATTGAAGATTGATAGATTGTCTTAAGTCACGTACTGGTTTTGAAGTTTATAAAAATAAGCCTTTAAGAACAATGAAGAGTACCTCTGGAGTATGAAGTGTGTTGGTTTTGATACTGAGAGGTTATCTTGTTAACAGTTGGGATATCTGCATGATTGGAAGATTATCAGAATGACTGAGTGCTAATTTCTATGTCGGTTTTATAGTTGTATGCTAAAGTGCCACTTGGTTTATATCACAGGAGGCAAAACCAAATTAGAATGAAATGTCATGCTGTATTTCGCTGCCTATGTGCATTAATAATATTGCTCTTGGTAATTTATAACTATTCTGAAAATATGTTTTTTAAAAAGTTTTCCGTATATATGAAATTTCTAATACATATATCAATGCAAATTATACCAGTTTCTAACTTTTTTGCAGACTTGTCCTCAGTTCTGTCTCTGACTATTTTGCTGCCATGTTTACAAGTGATGTTTGTGAAGCCAAGCAAGAAGAGATCAAAATGGAAGGCATAGACCCCAATGCACTGTGGGATCTTGTTCAGTTTGCATATACAGGTATTGTACTGCATACATTATCTTAATCATCCAAAATGCTTATTTATCATTTCTAGGGCTGAATTCAGATTATCTCTTATCTCCAAGTTGTTAAATATGTCAGACTTGGCAAGTGCAATAGGACAGTGAAGAAAATTATATATTTTTCTTGGTTTTCAAATACTTAAAAAGAGTGTGTGATATGCACATAATTCAGATTACATAAGATCACTGAAGGAACTGCTGTATTTTTTTAAGACTAGCCCTATATTGCTGTCTTAATAAAATTTCAATTTAAACAATTGCACAAATCTTTTAAAATTTAAAATAATAAAATGTTTTAAAAGGTTTTATTAGGAGCTGGATATTGTCACTTTCATTTCCTGTTATAGGCTAGTACTCTGTTGTGTAATGTAAACTTACGAATAACAGACAACTCAGAGTTAATAACTCAAAGCTTTCTTCTGAATAGCTTTTACATTTTACTGCATTATAGATTTGGGTTTATCCTTCTTAAGCAACTTGTTATGCACAGTGTAACTGAAGTGCATTAATAAGAATACTAATGTTACAAAATAAAGTAATTAGAAAAGAGGAAATGCCTATAAGAAGATTTGTCTTTCCTTGACTTGAATCATATAAATGTAAAATAGATGATGTTTTCTATTTGTTTCCTAAAAGACATCCTGATATTGTTTAAATTAACAGTATTTTATCATGATGATTCTATTGTATATTTGATTTAGCTTCAAATTTAAATGGACACCACAATCCCTGCAGTTTTAGTTTTCTATAAATACACATATAATAATTTAATCACAAGTTGCTGTTTGCTTTGATATATTTAATCAGGATGTGTGCTGTGTTTTCCATGACATAATAGCTTTACCATCTTAATGGGAAACAGAAGCTGCAAATAAATACAATTTAAGTTAAAAATGCTCTTTTTGAGAATAACGTTTGACAAATACATGTTCTAGGAATGTCCGACAACAGTTTATGTAGTACTCTACATGTTTGAAGGTTAGTGCCTGTTTCCTTCAGTTATAGTTTTGCCATTCAGGAATGTACATCATCCTGAGGGTTTCAAGCTAGGAATCCATGAAATGAAGAACATGTAAGTAGTTCTTAGGAAGCATAAGAAGGATACAATCTGATTCCTTGGTATGAGGCTAAAATCTGTGGCAGAAGAATGCTGGGGCAAAATCAAGAATACTTTGGCACAGAATAGCAAGAGACCTTACTGATAATGTTAAATCATTCTATAAGAGGAAGGTAAAAGAAAGAGGAGGCAAGAGGAAGATGAGGGACAGTGTTGTTCCCCTGGGAACTGTGGAAATACTCAAGTACTGCATGATTCTTGCACCTCAGTTTTTACTGAAAGATCTAATGGAAACATACAGCACAGTTGTTATTGACAATAAAAGACAGCATGTAAGTTTAGATTAAGAAAAGAAGGAGATAAAGAAGAAAGAAAGAATAAAAAATGTAACCATTTTCAATATGAATGAAGCTATCTCAGAACTTTATGGTTATCTCTGAGAACTTCGGAGACTGGATGAGGCAGTGAAAAAGTAGAAAAAGTGAACTCCTGCTTTCTACAAAAGATAAAGATTTTCAGCCACTTTACACTCCTTGATTTGTCTATACCTTGTGATGTATTCTATTTTTTGAGGTGAATAACTTGGAATTTTCTTTTGTGTTAGGTAAATAAGAATCAGCCTTCACAAATGGATGAAAAGAGAACTCCTCAGCTAGCATACTTCCCGTTTTCTAATTTACCTTATGTGAATTTGTGTCTGCAATATTCTTTCATTTATACAGTCACACAAAGTCCAAACTATGTGAGAAATGGCAACCTTACATGCTATTGTAACATCACTTTGAAGAATTAGAAACCTAAGGTGATAACCAACGTGTCTAATTTCTGTCACTTGTAGTGGTAATACACTATTATCCTTTTTTTCCTAACCTCTTTTAGAGACTAAATAAGACTCAAAAAATATATTCATAAGTTTGCACTTGCAAATTTCACAAATACTACCTGCTGACAATAGAAGTGTGATGAGATTGAGGAAATGTGAGACTATTTCACATGTTAAAAGAGTACATTTATTGGATGCCATGGACCATTTTGGTTTTGATTACTCTGCCTTGCATTTCTCTTCCATTGGGTTCTTTGTCCTGACTTATTCTGATTTATCCTTATTTATTCTTAGCTTGTGTCCTTATCTCTTGAAATTCATGTTGGTTTATTTCTTTCTCTATTCCTTTTCTCTGCATCATATGTCTTAGCAGGCACCTAAATTTCCTAGCTACAATTATGCTAGTAAATTAAACAGTGCTAGGGAACATTTGAAGGCACTGGAACACAATTATCTATATTGATCCTGGCAGTTTTAGCCAAATCCATCTAGCAATCTCTCTAACAAATGTTGAGTACAGCTTGGATACACAGGCTTATCATTAATGCTCATCAGAGCCTTGAAAAGTGCTATGGAGAATTCAGTGATAACTCACATGATCAGGTAATTCCTAGAAAATGGTCCCAAACTTATTCAATTTATTGAAACCAAATACAATTTTTGCTTCTCAGTTAATCATTCTATTTTCCCTTGACCTTGCCAGATCAAAATCATATTTTTTCCCTTCCCTTTCATTTCCATTGTTTCTCATGATTTATCTAGCTTCACAGTTTCTTATCTCTTTTCTTACCCTCTGATTTCTTATTTACCACCAGTCTCGTTCATGTCCTCTTTTCCTTTGAGTCACTTCACTTTCCTTGTGCTTCATGGATGTGTACAAGGGGAACATTGAAAAGCTAAGAAAATAGCCACTGTTCTGATACCCAGTAGCAGCCAACAGAAATTCTCTTTCAGCCACTGTAACCTGGAGCATACATTTGTCTAGACATAGACAGAATATTTGGAGAATCTGGCTGCCAAATTCCATTTACTGACTGCACAATTTGTGCAAAAGTTTTCAGCTACTCATGTCGGTGACCAGTTTAGCTCTTTATTCTTTTACCTCAGGCATAGCAAACTATTTTGACAAATGGAAAGTTATTCACTCTTCTATTTTCTTTTTCCTGCCACTTCCTCCTTAGCTCAAGAAGATTAAAAAACAAGAACAAAAAAAAAAGGATTTCACATATAGTTGCTGCTGTTATAGAGAAGTTTTTCCCTGAGGACAACTGAACATTTCAGAAAAAATACAGCTGAACATGGGCTTGCTTGCAAAAATGTAGAAGTTAAGAGTATTACAATTCAAATGTGTTGAGATGTGCTTTTAAAAAAGGGAACCATTTCCACATGTAATGAACTGTAATTCAGTCAGGTTTATATTTTTTTTTAGAATCTAGTGAAATTACTTTATTTTTAGTTAGGAGTTCAAGAAGGATAAAATATGCATATCTATGAAAAGTATCATTATAGATAGAAACATCCTGAACTGATATCAGACCTTTCAGCAATATAATCAAATACTGTTGCAAAATATCAGAATTGAAGTTCAGCAAAAGGGAGGTTTTGTACATCAGAGACAGTGGCAGTGTGTGATGAACTGATCGCAGCCCCCATTCCCTGTCATCAGTGTGCCACTGAAGGGGAGGAGGTAGAGAAAATGGGGAGTGAAGTTGAGCCTGGGAAGATGGGAGGGGTGGGGTAAGGTATTTTAAGATTTTTTCTTATTTCTTATTTTCCCACTTTGATTTGATTTGCAATAAATTAATTTTTCCAAGTCAGGACTGGTTTGACTGTGACGGTAATTGGTGAGTGATCTTCCCCTGTCCTTATCTCAACCCTCATATTTTCTCTCCCCAGTTGAAGAGGGGAGTGATAGTACAGCTTTGGTAGAACCCTGGTGTCCAGCCAAGGTAAACTCACCACAATGGGGATTAACCCATGATGGACATAGCAGATGTTAACAACTCTCATTTCAGAACAATATACCTATCTGATATGGGGGAGACTTCCAGGAGCTTCTCAGAGAAACCACCCCTGTAGTTCCCTCACCACTACCTAAAACCTCGCCACACAAACCTAATAAACCCTACAAAGTAAAGACTACATTTATTTTCAAGATGTCCCATTTTTTATGATAATGTGGTGTGTGTTTATTATTAAGAGCAATCTCTTGTATTGATATTGAGCCTTTACAAAGTCTTAACAAGTAAAGAAATAACTAAATAATATCTCAATGGGAGACCAAGTAGGTAGGTAGCAACTTTGGAAAATTTAATTTAGAAAAAAAAGCCAAACAAAACCTATCACAAAAAAGGGTGTATGTTGTCTCTTTGCCAATTATGTGAAGTCAGGATATTACTTACTTTGCAAACGAAAACAAACATTTTAAACTCTAATCAACTTCAGGAAGAGCTTGCCATCTTTTAGAACTCATCATATTAAATAAAGCCAGTCATTTTTTGAGGCTATTTATAGGAGTAAAGTTGGATGAATGGTTAAATAAGATACAATGAGGGCTTTTTTTGTCTGTTTTGTTTTTTTTTTTTTGCTTGACTTCTTTTCCCACTCTCTTGCTTCTTTTAAAAGTATTTTTTGCACCTTTTTCCTTTTTTTTTCTGCTTAAAGAAAATACTACTCTGTTGAATAAAGAAGGCACAGTACTTACATTATGGAAGACTTTATACAACGGTAAATTGTCTTTCTTGTATCTCCTAAATACGTAGATGACAGAGTCATTACACACTGAAGCTGGACTGCGTTCAGTCAAACAGTCAGTCTAAGCAAATAGACTTCTAAATAATGGGCAAGATAGAGTTACATGGTGACCAGCAGAGCATCAAGTCCTGTATAGCCTTGATAAGAGCTGCTCCTGAGTGAAGGCAGTTGCCCATCTAAGAGTAGTAACAGGAAGATAGAAAATTAGACTGCCAAAAGTTGTGATTTAAAGATAATAAAAGGTGTTGAAGTTTCTGTGAAGATTCAACATGACTAATTGCATAAAGTTAATGTGATAGATGTATCTATAAAACACAATTTGATTAAAGATTAAAATGTGTT